GACACACAGATATGTTGCTTTTCTATCTTTTCTGCAGGTCAAATCATTTTCTGCAAGTTTCAGTGTCACATTGAGGAGTAGCAATAGTTTGTTGGAGTGATACTCATCTGTCGTGCATTGCGTCAACACTCTATCTCCTCAAACCTTCACATCTGTTTTTATCTCCTCTCTGCATTATTCAGATTCACATGCACGCAGAGGTACTTTAGAAGAGAGTGAAAAGGTTTGCTCGGTGTGTGTCCAGCTCGGAGTAAATATTTAACTTGATGTTTGCTTGATAGAACATCCAATGTGGATCATCGCTACTATTCCTGGCAGTAACAAAGGTGAACTCGTCACATGAACCCACACGTTTACGTTACTCACAAAAAACTGACATCTGGAATGTGACAATACACATTAAAAGTACTCACAATCGAGGTGTCTGGCTCATTGAGAATGAACAACGCCGGACCTCACCAGGTTGACTCTCACACTTCAGGTTATGGGTTACGTTGGTTAACACTGACTGCAGAGACCTGCTGACTCTTGTAGTCACACACATATGATATCACTCCCAGTCACTTGCACTGACATCATGCAGTGAGCACACAGTGATAAATAGAAGCCTGACATCTGGATTCATACCGACAATTGACATTGTCTCGCTTATTAATGTGGTGTCCTGGTAGCAGCTTGTTAACTTGCAGATGGTTCCTCAGACTTTCCACTGCCTCATAAACTCTCAGAATGTGTTTGAAAAGGCCAAGACATTGTTAGAAGACTTCACATTAAGTAATAACACACATATGGTTAAAATAAAGACTATCAAAATACTATGGCTGCTGTAGTTGTAACCTTCAGAAATCTCTCCCCACAGGAAGTTTTTGATTTACTGACTGAAACACTTTTCTTGGACTTTTCGTTATATTTTCAGTACAATTTATTTAAGATACTTTAAATACTGTTTCTAAAAATCTTCTATTTTCCTTTCCCCATAGATGTGATTGAATATTCTGCAATTTAAAAGATAAAAACTTAATTAATCCTGTGAGTACTCCTCAAAGGCTACTCTACAATATGTTGAGTGACAAAGGAAGTATTTCGGTATTTCTTAATCAGCGTCTGTATTTTTTGATGTTATCAGTCCAGGTTATATTAACCCAAAAGCAGTAAAACACACATCATTGCACTGCATCGCCTGGACTTTGACTTTTCTTATTACAATATGTTACAGTACATTCTATCTCGAAACGTTGATAACTGTTTAACACAGATACACGAGTATTGTGACAAAGGGAAACGTCTGTTTGTCGTTTCACAACAGAATATTTGAATTTGAATTTCTCACCACGTCACTGACTGTGACACACCTTTGTGTATTTTTTTTGTTGCTGTTTAACACCTTGTGTGCAATCAGACAGTTTATGACACAGAGACAGAAAAAAACAACACTCACTCACTCACTCACTCACCCACTCACTCACTCACTCACTCTCACTCACACACACACACTTGAGCTGACTCATAGCATGGCATATTGGGGCGTATCCTGGACACACCTGAATAAGTTGCCAAAACAAGTTTGAATGATAACACAGTGAGATAGTGAGACGGTATAATGGTCAACTGGTTTCTGTTGGCGCGGAGCCATGAAAAATATACTCTGCACACACAGCTGCGAAAAGCTTTGTCTGGATGTCAGAGTTAGAGGATGCAGATCAAACAGATCCAGTCATTTAGGATTTTTTTTAAAATGATTTCCTCATTTTACTTTACACATCCATACTTAATTAATTATCTGCAAATTGAAACCAGTTATTTTGCTTCAACAGTTTAATTTTTACACAATTTCCATGTGATTTATTTTTGTGATGATTCAAAACCTGGTTGCAACAGTATTTGATAAACTGTGTATTTATATCTCACACCAACATTACTTTGTTTTCATCAACTTCACAGAACTGAAAACAACAACAGAAACAAATGCATTATAGTGCATGAATGTTGCTATAGCTTAAAAGAACAAAGCCACCAAATGCTCGAGAAGACGCATTAATTACGTCAGTCTGCCTGCAGGGGTCATAAGTGTGCAACAAATCCCAACCCTATGAACTACTGCAGGCCATTCAGGGGCCCCCAGTAATCCTTCATGGGGCCACTCAGGATCTGTCAAACGTGCTTAGCATGCACTAACACTGGTTAGCTCTGAGAAAATACTTAAAATGTGTTTATTCAAATGCTCAAAGGTAAATTAACATGGAACTTGACGCTAGATTTGCTAAAAGTTATATGCTAAACACTATATATATAACATCATATATATGTAATAAAACAGTATTGAGCAGAGAACAAAAAATGTAATGTCTTCTAATGTTTTGTTGAAAAATAGAATTTAATGAAATTTAACTGTGAACGATTCACCTCCCTGTGTGTGTGTGTGTGTGTGTGTGTACGTGTACTATCACATTATGGCCAGGAGGGTGAAGCATTGCTAAACATACATGTGCTGTAGATGGAGTGGGAGTCTGCTGTCACATGCTCAGATAAATATAGGCTATATAGTCAGTGGGTGCAATTCAAACTTGACCAATATTGAACCTTATGTCACCATAAATCATATTATCAGAAAAACATCAAGTTCATAATTTAAGACATAATTACCATCATATGTCTCCTTTAGAGCCAAATTACTTCAATTTTAAACGTCTGTCTTGTCAAATGAGTGGTTGTGTTTCAGTAAAATAAGGGAAAGGCATCAAATGTTAGGATAATTAATGATCTTGTTTGGAACAAAACTTTAGGTCTGTATGTTGTAACTAAGGTTTTCATAAAAAAGAAACAAATCACAGAAGCTGCTAAGTAATAAAACCTTAGTAATGGAAAGATTTGGGTTGCCAGGTTGTGCAGATATCTGTTGACTGGTGTTCGTCATCCTCCAGGATCATTTGTCTTTCTAGTTCTTCAGTTCATTAGACACCAATGTTGAGTTCAACCATCCCCCTGATGGAGAGAGTGGAGGATCACCTGGAACAAAATCCATTCACTAACTATATCTACTAATGCACATTTATAAAACCAGACACAGTAGAAAAATCCCTTATTAATGACATACTAACATTTGACCTTGATGACCTGTGGACTAATTATGTAGTGGGAAATTGAACTGACATATAAAATTGTTGATAACAACAGGTTGCCTTGAATAATGCAAGTTTTATCTATAAAGCCTTTCTGTTGAATTAGAAATGATTACCTGAGGAATTACATGAGACACAAACCTCAACACGACTGTACATAAAAAAATGAGAGAGAAGGCATGGCGCATGAAAATGTATATTACATCCATGAAACCAAACCATCACATGAATAAGAAAAGCTAAAACCTCTGTGTTTTACCAGACAAACTGTGTATTGGTCTGTCTCAGTCACTGTATCCCCTCATTGTGCTTCTACAATGCATAAGCAATATATTGATATTATTATTGAACACACATTCTGAGTGTTTATGAGAAACACTTTCCTTAAAAAAGGTCCCAGTATTCCAACGATCATGTGCTGTTTCAGACATTGCAAGACGATAAATAATTCATAAGATTTTAAATGCACACTGCAGTTGAGGGGTCCAATTCTAAATCTTGATTAAATATTTTCTCAAATTCACAAAATTGTTTGTTCTGTAGTTCATGACACAACCACAGGCAATGAGTTAAGGTACCATTTACAGTTTTGAGACACAGAAGAGAAAGTAAGAGGTCAAAGGAATGTCTGCAATTAGTGGCTATGTGTAGGGAAATGTCAGCCCTAGAATACAAAACATTGGATATGATCAGTATGGAGAATGTAGCCCACCCAAACAATGTATTCAAGTAAAGTAAGTACTTGTTTCTAATCACAAAGTAAAAGTACTTGCCAAGTGCAGCCTCGTCCTTAATAAAACAGTCAATTGACTGCATATTTTGTTTGATATAAGAAAAGTAAAGACTCTGTCACATCAACAAAAAAATGCTGATGATGATGCTGAAAACAAATCCACTGTCATATTGAATATTTGAAAGGGGATTCTTGTATTATTGTAATTGATCTGTTATCTGACCATTTCCCTTCTCATTTTGATGACTTAAAGGTACAGTGTGTAGAATTTTGTGATATCTAGTGTTGAAATTACATGTTGCAGCTGAACACCCCTCACCTCACCCTCCCCTTCCAAACATGAAAAAGAACCTGTGGTAGCTTCAGTTGTCATAAAAACTCAAAAGGTGTTTAGTTTGTTCAGTCTGGACTAATGTAAAAAACATGGTGGCCTCCGTAGAGAGGGTCCCCTCGATGTAAATATAAAGTATTTAAATATAAAGGAACTTTTCTGGGGTAAAGAAAACTACAATTCAATTTAGATGAAACGAACTAGTGAAAACATCATAAGGATTATTCTACATTCAATTTCTGCCAATAATTCCCTTTCACCTAAATCTTACACACTGGACCTTATTATACATATGTATAATATAACATTTATATATATTTTATATGTCATACTCAATGTTTACACACACACACACACACACACATATATATATATATATATATAAGCATAATGCAAACATCTAATGTGAGGCACTGTAGCGGCATAATAATTACAGATATCTTGTAATATATGCTATGATGTAAAAAAAAGTACCCAAAAATAAAGCTATTGAAGTACAGACACATTAATAATTTATGTAGTAATAAAATAAATTAATACTAATTAATAATAACAACAAATAATAATACTTATATTTCACATATTTCAAAACATCCGATAAGAATTTTTTAAAAGAAGACAAATACAAACATCAAAGGCAACAAGCTAAAAATGCATCACCAAAGACAGAAGGTACAGTAACGAAGTAAAAGTACTTTGTTACGTGTCACCACTGTGCATGTTGAAGCATTACGAGGAACAATAATAAGTACTTGTGTCAGATTGTCCCCTCACAGTGTGACCTGTGGCCATGTTGAGTTGAGTCAACAGCTCAAAGCCTGGTGGGCAGGTGTGTTACCTGTGGCTCCCTCAGGAAGATCCTCTGCCGCCTCAGCGACACGGACACATTAAAGAGGACGGGGACCATGGAACAGTTTCTTTTTCTCTCGTCACGGCCTCATCGAGCAGTGAGCTTCGTGTGTGTCAGTGTGTGTGACTCTGATCTTTGAGGCTGCTCTCAGTCCAGCACTTGTTTGTTAGACGGACAGACCGACAGACGGAAGTGCTTCCTGGTAATAGAGAGGTGCGTCTTATTTCCATTCCAGAGACTGACTGACTGGGACTGAGTGACTGCGCACGTCTTTCAGCGCCGGGGAGCTGGGGGCGCATTGACGCATTGTGGAGTCGACAGGCGAGGGTGGGGGGGGGTGGTAGCACTGCAACCCCGGCTTCGCCACACACACACACACACACACACTCACGCACACGGAGGCATCTATCTGGCGGAACCGCGATGGCCGTGGTGCAGCTCGACAGGGAGGACCACCAGCCGGAGAACGGCTTCGTGTCCCCCGAAACCACGTCGCCGGGGCTGCTAACGCGCATCGACTGCTCCGTGCTGCCGTTTCTCGGGGGATTTGGGAAATACCAGAAACAGCTGATCGTGCTGACATGGATCCCGGCGCTATTCATTGGATTCAGCCAGTTCTCGGACAATTTCCTCCTGGCACAGCCGAACAACACATGCGTGCAGCCGCTGGCGAACCTGACTTACAACCAGAGCGCGCCGGGTCACTCCTCGCTGCTGGACAGTCCCCACAACAGCAGCGGCGCGCGGTCAGCTCACATGTATGCCAATGGAAGTTACGGCAGCCACAATAACAGCATCTCAATGCAGTGTCAGTGCAGCGAGTGGACGTTCGAGCTGCACACGGGACTCGTGCATAACGTGGTAACCAAGGTAAGATGACCATTCCCAGGAATGGGCATCCTTCTTCCATCTCATTGTGTTGTGCCTCTGTCACCCGATCCTCCCTATAATCCCATTAGGATTGATTTACTCTGGTAAGAGAGTGAAACCCTGGCCCTTATCAACACAATATCCATCATTTTAAAAAAATACACCACTTTCAAACAGCATCCCAGTCTCTTCTTTATCAAATTGTGCCCAAATCATGTTTTTGCCAGCTATGGATACGCCTCCATTGTTGCACCCAAGGCTTGGTCTAGCACTGTCTGTAGGGAATCACTAATACCCCCCAATACTAGCAGGAATACATAGGTGAGAGCGTGACAGTGACACATCCTGACACAAACTGTGACCTATGCATGGAGAGGCCATCATGCACCGGCACTTTTGGCAAAGCTGCCATGGGCTGGTGGAATTTGCCGGTTGTCGTAATGCACATAATAGACATGCAGCCTTTTGATTTGGAGCAAAGGTCAGTCTGTGCACGCTCTAGAATATTACAACCCCATCCCTGGACAAACATCAGCTGCCCGATCTCTGCCCCATAACCAAACACCAGCCTTTTCTCGCCGCTCTCATTCTGGACACTTTAACTCAGAATGGATGCCTCTACCTACTGTGGCATCCCCATTATATTCCTTTAACAGGGCAGGTTGAGGGGTGGACAGTATCGGCCTGTAGTCTTTATAGTTGGTCTGCTAGTGTGACTCTGTGATACACAATCCTTTCTGAGTAAACATGACTTTAACATCAGGGGCTGATTGATGGGATCACATCTGTTGTGATCACAGGGAGCCATTAGGACAGAGAGTCACTGTGTTCATTATGACAAGTTTAAATGTTGACACACACTCTGATGACCTCCCACACCCTTGCAGAGCAAAGTAAATTGCATTTTAATCTGCAGCATCTTCACCTCTGAAGGGTTTGTAATGTAATCAAAAGGCTTATCAGCAGGAGTTTGATCTGGAGCCACGCTTTGAAGCCCCTCCGTGCCATATAGGAGGAGGTCGTGGCGCCCAGTGATGCCAGCAGCTCATCTGTTTTATAACTGATAATGGACTCTTTTGATAGATACAATTGATAAACAAAATGCAGCTGTGGCATTTTTTTTTTATTTCACCACAAGCTGAGGGACAGTTAAAGCCTGGATTTCATTAAGTGTCCGCAGGGTTATTTGGTATAGGTGGGGTTACAGAGCTAGTTCTTATGGATGGATTCCTTCAAAATACAACAAACCTTCAGCTGAATATTATGTCATATTGTGAGGAAAAACAACTGGGTGGGTGTTTATTACTAAAAATCCAAAAATTTCTGTTCTTGGCCATAAAAACTGAACAGGGAGTTCTCATGTGACTTTAGCTCTAATGCACTGCTGCCTCTTCTCATGCTGGTGACTGTAACCTGTAGATTCTCTCTTCTGTGTTGCCTTTGCACACAACCAGAATGTCATGTTGACACTACCACCATTGCGGATCAGTGACGGGGCTGAGCAGTTGGTATAAGTGCGTTGCAGTGCTTGTCTTCACTGACCAGTGTCGTCCACATTCCAACAAGGTCACCATTTGAAGGATTTGAATCAGATGTCATTGCAGGAGACTCTTCCAAAAAATGAAATGAAGCACCATAATAAACCCTCAACATCGTGTCCCTTTGTCGACCTGTCCCTCACTCCTCTAAGGCCCCAACGCAGCACAGACATGAGGATGACACTTCAGCAAGAAATGATGACTTGGCATTTGTCCCTATGTTTAGATTGCATCGGCACAACTGCACACGACAGTGGATCCCTAAAAAGCGGGACATTGTGCCAACACTGCCAGAATGCACCAACAAATTCTTACCGCATGTGCTGTACATGTAAATAGATGTTGATGCTTTCCCCCGTTTGCTGCTTGGGTTTTGCTTCCAGAATCCATAGCAAAGGAATGCATTTAAATGCATTTGCGCTTGCTCCATTTTCCCCGGCGTCCCAGAGAGAGACGGCCTTGATGGAGGTGGTCAGAGGAGGTTGAGGTGGTGGTGAAGGATCCAGAGAGGTGAATTTGAAGACCCGTCCTAATTGAGTCAAAGCTCTCCTCAGGGTCCGTCCTAATTGGACGGAGCCTGAGAAATGAGAATGTATCATTACTCAGAGACAGATAGTCTCTGCAACACAGCAGCTGCACACACTATCTGAAACAGTGGACAAAGCAAAGATTAACCTCTGTATTGATCCTGTATATGAGCTGGCTTCTTGTGTCTTAATCAGGGACAAGAGGCATTTAAAGACTGCTGATTATTTTTTTCATCTAATAGTGAATTTAGGATTTCCCCTCTTATCATACTCCACTGTAGAGTGGGGTTTGGACTCATACCAAGCTATGACACCCTCATGGATTTAAGCTTGAATGCGAAACTGTTATTTTTTGTCTTGTTTTCAAATTGTCAGAAAAAGGTATAGAAACCCCAGGGTTCTTTGAATTGCTTGTTTTCCCAAACTCAAAAATATTACAGTTAAAATGATGACAACAAATCCTTGTGTTTTGGAAGCTGTTGCTGCTCATTTGCTTACTAAACTAGAATGAAAATCAGTAGAGCTCAAACCTCTGTTTGGATCTGCACCAATTTACAGACTCATAAATATCAGTCCACTACACAAACGCCTGATAGTTTTTTCATCGAGATCTGTGAATTATTTTCTGCAAAATCAAGGAAAATGTTGAAAACACAGAACAAATCTCACAATGTTACAGAAAGTAAAAAAAAAAGAAATCCTGGATCCTCACCAAAATGTAGTCTGTTCTCTCCTGACCATTACGCACCAATTCATCCAGTAGTGGGGGTAATACTGCAAACAAATAAACAAACAAGCATGGATGAACACCGAAAACAACTAGTCAACAGAAAAATATTAAAATTACTAACAATTTGAATAATGATTAATTGATGAAGTCAGTTTTTAGGCAAAATGGCAAATAATCAGTGAGACTTTTGAAGACGTTAGTTGTGGAAACTGTAAAATCTTTTGCTAATATGCAATTGACAATAAAGGCAATTCTGAGTTGAGGAGTTGTTTGTGCACAACTCAACATGGTTCAGTTACATGGTATGTCATTGCCATTTTTATCTTGCGGCATTGTATGGAGGTGATATGGACCATATGTTGCAAAGCACAACTGTGGGTACACCCAGACCCAGTATCAGTATCGAGAGGTCCCACACCCATAGATCTGAAAGATGATATTTCAGCTGAACACCACGCAGGCCTCTCAGCTCCGGGTCCCTACATACTGTTTACCCAGCTGCCTGGCTCCGTCCGCTGACTCTGGATCAGTGTGGGACACTCTGAAACAGTCTCAGCTGTCGAAAGGCGATGACCCCACTGCAGATACCCAGTCAGCACACAATGACAGCCACTTGCAGTGTCAGCTGGGAGGAGAGGAAGCCAGTGTGACCAAAAGATAAAACTCTGTTGAAGGCTCCTTGAGAGTGTTACAGGCTTGTTTCTGATATGTGCTGTTTCGTAACAGGGAGGGCTGAGCGTTATGGGGGTGCCTGACCCTTGTCCTTGGTTTAAGTTTGTTTGTAGGACTGTGTTATGGAATTCATGTTTGTGGGTTGTTAATGCATTTGAAGTCTCTGTGGTGACAGAGACATGTAGTGGGAGGTTCTCAGCTGCCAACAAAACAATACAGTGAGTAATAGATTGACAAAGGTTTGCTGTTTCACTATCTGTCACTGTTGGTTACAGGGAAGTGTAACTTGTCAAACATGCCATTTTTTCTCATCAGAATGCTACAGCTGTATAAGCCCTTCGTTTTCCGGCAATATCCTCATATCTGCAATATAAATATGATAAATATGAATATGTGTAGTAAAGATTAATCCTTCTGCTCTCACTCGTTCTCCTTTACCTACACTACCACCACATTATAAAATTTCAGCCTCTCGTTGATGCACTGGTGTTAAAACTTGCACTTGGAAGCAGAAAGAGTCTGATCACCACAGCGATGGTCTGTTGCTAGGCAGTAACTATGCAGCAGTCTCTCCATGTGTTTTTCCGCCTTCATCTCGCAATTGCTTTTTAAGCATTTCCCTTCTCCTCAGCTTGCTACCTGTCCCCATGCTTTCCTTTTATTCTTTTTACGTTGCTCTCCGTCTCTTAAGCATTTTCTGCTTCAACATTGTATAATCTTTATTCCTGCCTCCCCGTGCTTTTCATCCATCTCCCGCCTGTCCTCACCCCTCCCTCCTCTCAAACCCCCACCCACCACCCCTCTAGTTCAATGAGTGCAGAAATGTGCAGCTGTAGTTGGGAGAGCTCCTTCATGGGAGCTAATTAGACTCAACGGTGTAGACTGATTGGTGGCCGGTCGTTTTGAGAGAGGTCGACAGACACCCCGGGGACTTCAAACCGATTTTCTCTTGGCCCTGCATTGTTCAGCGTTTTCCATCAGCTTTTAGATTTATACGTGTCCAAGCCATCTCTGCTCACTGACATCTATTCATTACTCCCAAATGAGCAAGACAATAGCAAGGGAGCGACTGGCAGAAATAATAGGGGGCAGAGGAGACAAGCTACATGATCTGACTCATGCTTTAGACTGAATCACACTTTGCTGGGATTTCTCTGTTCTGCTGTAGCTGAGGATCTGTCTGCTTTTTCTTACCTGTGCCAATAGCAGAGCGGAGGCCCGTTAACGATGAGCTCGGTCAGAGCCTTTGGCCTGGAGAGAGACCTGGTTAATAATACATGCAAATGAGGCACATTAATGATACTTTGGAGAATCCCAACCAGACATTCTCTGCCCAAGTAGCCTCACATTTCAGCGCTCACCACTCATGAGACATCGCTGCCTAGTCATGTGACTTGAGAATGTCAGCATTGGTGATCTGTCTGTGGTCAGCTGCACATGTCTGTTCTGCGCTGTCATCCGCGCGTGCCCTGCTGGAACTTGTTTAATTGCAAACTCAGAGTTTAATTTCAGTCAAGCTCCTGGATGAGGGAAGATACAGTTTTTTTTTAGTGTTGCTGGGATTGTGTAATAGGAACTTGTTTGCCTCCCACTGTCTTTTTCTCTGCTGACATTGATACTGAAACCCTGAATGAGTGGCATGCCTGGATCATGTGATGGCTGGGTGGCTCTGGGTAATCCTGGAGCGTTCCATTCTGGACGAGTCACTATGGTTGAGGTAATGGGAGGTTAGAGCCCCTCACTGAAACAAACCACACTTTGTATGTGAAGGTGTTTTCTTATATTGTTTTATAGTGAGAAGGTGCGGTGTATAAATGAAACAGATCTGAGGTCAGCATTGATCTGACTCCAATACGCAATGCACCTTCTATGACGACTAAGCCCATATCTGCTCGTTCCTGCTGCGTCTCTCAGCAAAGACGCCTGGGAGGCATATGTTGCAAAAAAAGAGCCCAAATATCCACTTCCTTTTACGATGTTCAAATTCTGTTCCTCTCAGTATCATCCAGTCGAGTAGGATAATTTATCAGTCATGCCAATATTAGTCGATGTTGCAGGTTTGTGTAGATTATTTTTCCATATTTGCTGCTGCACATCTTTATGATCACTGCTTGTGTGCACATGGTCTGGTCACAACTTGTGACTGCTGTAGGGGGAAAGGTCAGGGCGTGCTCAATTCACACACTGCATTGTTAACTAGGAGTCCTCAGGGTTTGAATCTGCAAAGAAAACGTGGAGGCCTGTGATAAACCATCTTTTCACACTGTAGAGGAGAAAATACACATAAAAAGTTTAAAATGAGATAATAATAATTCAATGTAAAGGTGTTTTTTTTATTTGATTTAGTCTCACTAACTCAACATGATAGAAAATACATTTAAATATTTTTGTACTAAATTAGCAAATAACCATATGAATAGTCACTCAATCAGAAAAACTCTAAAATATAAGTATCTTTAGAGGTTTACTATATTTGTAATTAATTGGTACAAAGCATTACATAAAAACTGCTTGCGATATATTGTGTAAAATAATATTTGGAGAAAAGAAAAAGTAATAGTTGGAGGAATAACGGAGATGAGGGAATATCACGTTGATGTTTACCTGATATTTACTTGAATGGGAAAGCAGTTATGGGCAGACGGTCTCATACATCAGACAGACCAAGCAGAGAAGGATAGTCAAGAGACAAAAATGACTCATCTTCAAAACATTATATTTGTCTTTCACTTCCATTTTCTTTTCTTTACCCAGCATTGATTTCTCAGAACTAATGTCGGTGTTTATTTGTCTCCACAGTGGAGTCTGGTGTGTGACTCAGCATGGAAAGTCCATATTGCAAAGTTCTCTCTGTTGGTGGGATCCATCTTTGGATACCTAGTGTTTGGAATCCTGGCTGACTGGTGAGATTTTCAACTAAGTTCATTCACTCTAAGTTTTATAGATAGAAATGTGAAATTGAAAGGTATTTACCGCATTAAAAGTATCAATAATCAATGTTGCTATTTAACTTTTTCCGTAGGTTTGGCCGTCACCCAGTGCTGATCATATCGGTACTGTTCATGCTGGTGTTTGGTCTGACTGTGGCCTTCTCCGTCAACGTTCCCATGTTCAGCACCTTGCGATTCTTTGAGGGCTTCTGTCTAGCAGGAATCACCCTCTCTCTCTACGTCCTCAGTAAGTGTTGAACCCTCAGCTAAAAGCCCTGTGTTAATGCCTTTTCTATAGAGGCAGTTCAATGCAAGATAACATAGTTAATAAAAACGACGTGATGTAAATGACCGTCTTTGAATGGGTGTGCTGCACATTTCTTTTGCTTCTCAGGTGATTCTGGTGAGTGCACCAACAACAGTGCTAAACTGGACATTGTTATGCACTTAAAATCTCTGGCTGTAGGAGATCGGATAAAATACAGTGAAGTGAAGCGAACATGGAAGCGAACACGAAATGGCTTGACACTTAGATCCACTTCAACTTTACTTTACTACATTAAAGCTATATTAAGCCAACTGCGAAAGGTGGTGGTTTAGCATTATCTATTAGCATCATCTGATGCTACATTGCTTGCAGATGGAGATTTAGTGCCATATGATGTTAGTTGCCAAGCAGATTACTGATGCAGCACAAGAGACTGGAAAAGGGTAATTTCCAGTTTTTAATTTAATTTAACAAATACCCGTAAACCAGCCATTTTGTGTGTGGGTTAGGATTAGTTTGTTTAGGCTAAAACTAGCTGTGAGTAATATCATCATCACCACCATCACAAGTGAGATGCCTTGCCAAAGAGAAGCACTTCCAGCCATCACATTAGAAACATAAGTGTGACATATGGCTTTGATATATTAGTGTGGCCCTTGAAGAATATAAAACTAAAATGAACCTTGATTTTTTTGCTAGCAGACAGAAGTGACGAGGATGCAACTAGAACAGATAGAAAGACAGTGGAGGGCAATGAAATGTTTTTATCTCTGATGTATTGGTACAAATTCTTGAATCTTAAAAAGTAAAAATAAATTAAGCATACTTGCTACATCAATTTTAGTCATCATTGAAACACTAGAGCTCAGATATCACACAGAGGCAAACGTTAGCTCTGTTGGCTGAAATGCTAACCTTTTTCCAGATTTTTCAATTAGCTTGTTTGTTGTTGTTGAGCTGATTAAAAACTATGTCTCTAATAGAGATTTTAAAGTTTCTAGTTGAAAAGTTTCTGGCTGAAAGTATCGTCTTTGGTGCTGTATTTTGCTGCAGGACCTTCACGTAGCATTTGAACGCTTTGAACGCTTCTTGTTGCTCTGTTTCGTAGAGGGTTCCTGGATTTAATGTTTGCACTAAACAGAAGTGCTGACAACAAATGGCCTCAGCAGCGATGCAGAAATAACCTGTAGGTTAAACTTGTTTGTTTGAGACAATGTCCAGGAGGTAAGAGCAGCTCTTGTTGGACGGCAAGGTGCGGTTTTCCTTTTACGGGCTGAGAAAAATACTTTAATATAATTGATCGCATCCCCATATAACTAAAAATGAGATATAAATAACAAAAATAACTTTAGCCAAAATCTGTCACAGCGTTATATCTTCTTCTCTTAAAATATATAATGTTTTCTTAATAAAGCTGCGATAATTATAACAGTTTAATTTAGTCTGTACCTCCCTCTTAATCCCTAATATCCTCCCATTGTTTGAGCTGTCACTACCAACCTGACACACTTGATCAAACAGCTATTCCCCTTTAATTCTTGTCTCATGCTGAGGTTAGCATTCAGCCGAAAGAACAGTTATCATGTTGCAGTTACTTCCTCACGTTTAATCAGCCAAATGCCATTGTCCTGATAGATTCTCATTACCGAGAAACTGCAATCCTCCTTAAGCTTGTTTACTCTTAAATTTTCACATAGGTGCATCAAGAGCATGTCTTTTACAGAGATTAAATCCTTTTTGCTGCTAATCAACAATCTGAAAATGACAGAAGGGGTAACTTGTGTAGCTTCCCTCATCACTGCAGGAAGAGTCTGCAAGCGGCTCTATGTTGGTGGAGATGAATCCTCTGTTGACGTGACCTTCTCTCTGCACCGTAAAGGCTTAAATCATTAGCTCTGTGGGCATGTTACGTGTCAGGTTCCAAAGCGCGGGGAGGTAACAGACTTTTCGATAGTGTCCTGATAATTGGCCACGCAGCAGATGGTCTCAGCTATGGATCCTTAAAAGCCTCTTGGCCGCAGTACTTGACCAGTGCAGAGGAAGGTTGCAAAAATGGAGGGAGGTGGAGGTTGAGAGCAGGGAAGCGAGAGCGAGATGATTAAGGAAGGGGCCCTTGGTGTCCTTGTCTTTATAATTTACTCTACACTGTACACCCTGAAAGGCCTTTCCCCCACTCCCTGAACCGAAACACCGTTGAGTACCAGGACAAAGGAAAAAGGGCGCGGCAGGAGGCAAAGGCAGAGTTAAACTGTACAGTAGCTTTGTCTTATCAAATTTAAATGAACTTGACATTATCCTCCATTGTTTTCACGTTAGCCAACAGTTTATGGTTCAATAAATCAGTGGTTCTCAATTGGAGCCCAATAGAAGGTGGAGGGAATTCACAATGGGATGTATTTGCATTCTACCACACAAGCTTATGAAGCATGCATTGGTTTGTTTGTTGTTATCATATTCAATTTCCACTAAAGAAATGGTACAAAACAATAAAAGCAACAATTAACAGCAAAGAATATAGCAAAACTACTTGTTTAGTTACAGCTTAGAATTGACATACGAGTACTGTGTATGTGGATTTAATGTGTATTTTAAAGGCAGAAATAAGTAAACATACAAAAACGTAATCAACATATGTATTTATTTGAATTTCTCAGTTTTATACTTCAGGGCTTTACTGTTGCAGAGCTGCATTCCAAATATGTATATATACACACACGTATGTCTCAAGGGTATGCTCATTGTGAAAGTATTATTTTTTTTTACTCTTCTCATTATTAGTTTTTAATACTTTTGTTATTCTTCCTCTTCTTTTCTCAGTCTACTTTTTAATGGTACCTTCCCAGCCCCCAGCTCTTCTCCTCCTCAGCTCTCTACTACTCTCTTCTTTATTTTATTCTTCCCTATTTTTTAGTTCTGCATTTGCTGTTACACCGTACAATCTACACAACTAAAATACACTGATTGCAGAGTAAATTAAGTGGTCACAGACATTGTCATGGAAATTCTTTCTTGTACTGAGATACTTTATGAAAGGTTGATGCAACACCGTACCCTCTACAATCATATTCTAGAACCTGTGTAGTTAAGAAATGGCTCAGAGGACAAGAAAAATATCTGATATATCACGTTTAAAGTTTCTGTAGAAAATGTGTCAAACCCCAGGACCAGGATTATGGAGTCTGGTTTAATTTAATATTGAGCCCTTTGCATCAGCAGCAAACACAGGATCTTCATGGTTCTTTGCTAATAATATCTCTCTAAGAACAGTTTGCTGTAGCACTGTGGAAAGTGCTGGAATGATATTTGTTTGGGCTTTGCAGAATTGTATAGGATTTGTGTTGCTATACTGTCCACCATATTTCAGATCATGTGTGGCCCCTGTCACATGATATTTACCCTGTAGCCACACTGCATATTGACAAAACTCCACTTGAGCCGTTCCAAGAGGAGGAGCACAGTCGTTCAATAACACATTACTGAATCAATCCTTTTTATTTCAAGGTTCAGGGCAGGGTATTAAATGCGTTCGCATGAGAGCTGGCAACATGGTGAAGAGTTTAGCAAAGCTAATATGCATTGTAGTCTTGACTCCATGTCGGTCATATGACGTTTATGGATGTAACATAAGAAAAGACATGATCCTCCTTTGTGTGTTGCTTTGTTTGACTTTGCTTGCAAAGGAAAGTCTGAGGCAAATCCCTGTTTGTATGTGCAATTTGCAATACCTATAATCTTTGAAGACACAAGTAACCAGCGCTCTGTAGCAGCGGCAGCTGGGACTCATCAATGTAAGTGATGTTATCAATCACGATAAATGTTCATTCTTGTTCAGTGTAGTGAGTCGAGCTTCATCAGACTTTGAATAAACAGGTGAATAGCTCTTTGTGTGGCAGAGGTGGCACAGCTTCAGGGTTCTGTGGACCAAGTCCCGCAGCTGGTCTTTGCTTTCTGCAGCTCAAAAACTGCAATTCACTTTTACAGTTATAGAAAGAAAGCTGCAACCAGCATCACCACAGGTCAAGAAAACAGCCCATTCCAAACAGGCAGGTTTGGAATGGGCACTGCACTAGTTCTTGTTAATACGTTAATGCACTAATTAAAAGACAGGGGCTTTCTGACCCCTCATTGATCCAAGCAGGCATCAATCAGAAAATCCATTGAGGAAGTGGGTAAGCCCCTTATTTTTAAGAGCGTGGGCATTTTTGCACTACCCGTTCAACCAAGTTGGACTCGAGCCCAGTGCAGGGCGAAACGTGGCTGATATGATCTGACACTTAACACAGCTCCTGACGTTAACTACCACAAAGAAAGACAGAAAAGAGAATTGGTGCCGGGTTGGTTTCAGACAAAGGGATAAAAAGAGAAAGGGGTCCAGCGATGACCATGAGGGAAAAAAGAGGAACATGAAAACTGGGAGGAATGTGGAAACTGGCAGAGGAAGAGAGAGAGAGAGAGTGGGCCCAAGATTTTTCACCTCTGAGAGTGACTTAAGGGGCAATGTAACACAATTGCAGTACCATCACAGATTTTTCTGCATATTAACATTAAACTGTATCACGTATAAAGCTAATGCATCTAGAGCATGTTGCCTCCACAGTAGGTATACCAGCAGAGCATTAAAGCAGATAGCTATAGAAAGTCATCTGATCCAGAGCTGCTATTTATACCTCAGTGCTCCATCAGCGTGTGTTTTTAGCAGCCCAGCACTAGGAAAGGTTCACAGTACCTATAGCTCAGCATCATGGTACTGCTCACTAATGCAATTTTTTTTATTCCACAGCAAACACTCCCACGTCACCTCATCCCCAACCCCCGAACCTCACATCTGACCCCCCCACCTACAAACACACACACACACTGCATCAACGAACTGAGTCATGCTAGCCGTCCACGCTGTGTGAGAATTTTGTGATCAGCTGGAGACGAGGTGACTGAGCTGTGGGGCAGTGGGCCAGAGCTAGCTCGCTCTTTGTTTACAC